GTGTGGGCTAACGCGCTTGCAATAGGTAAAGAAGTTAAGCAACGCCGAGCATTAAGCAAATGGGTGACCACACGATTTGGGTGATCGACTACCAGGCCTCCCCTCCGGGTTTTTGAGGTCCGTACTGGAGGCAACTCACACCGACCGGGCGTAGGACTGGTATATATTAGGTTTCTCCATAAATGCAACTCCAGAAGTTATTTCGTTCCAATTTATATTAAATGAAGAATGCATTTCAAGATGAAACAGAAAAGATTTCGACAAATGTAAAAAACTCATAATACTATTTTTAAAAAAGGAATGAAAATCTTATCCATATCTATTTAAACACCTCAGTAGATCATTAAAAAAAATTGAAACCTAAGAATATACGAGATTTGGTTTAGTTGTCAGATGTCTACCATCATCGAACGAAACTCAAGACTTTCGGCTTTTGACGTGCACCGACACATGGGACGAAATATACTTGCTAGGAACTGTTATGTGTACTGGAAGACGCCGCCAAACTACTAAACCAATTTTAAATATCCGTTGATGTCAATTTTGCTAATAGTCTACAAAAGTGTTTAAGTGGATTTGGTAGAAGAAAATTTCCTTGTAATGGACATCGAATTTTCCAGTTTCTATTGTCTTTTTTTTTTTTATTCAAATGTTATTTTATTGTAACCATTTTAGTTTTGCAAGTATTGAAAATTAGTATTCAGTTCTATTAGCACAAATTATTTTTAAAAACACACGATATCTCACCGAATAATTGAATTATTAACTGAATAATTCAAACTTAAAAATAGATACAGACGTTCCCTCAAAAATCGTAATTTATCCTTTACCAAATTTATTCAATCATGGGTCAATGTTTTTATGCCAATTTGCATCAAAACATACCCGAGATCTCGCCATCGATCCAGCCATTTGCTCAAAACAATGTTACGTATCTTTTGAGCGGATCACTGAAACACATTATAACTCGTCTGGCTTCATAATAGGCGGGATATTTGCCAAATTAACGATTATTAGTATAAACGATGTTTTCTTCTTTTTCAACTGTCTTTAATCAAGTGAAAATTAAAGTAAAGTTGAAAGCACGAAAAGTAGAAACCTAGAGAGTAGGGTTAACTGATTTCCTCATTAAAAAAGAAGAAACATGTGCCATGCAAGTTATATTTCTACACATTATCTTTTGTTTTGACTGTCATTCCATTATAATCTATCTATATAATAACTGTTATCTATAATATCCAGATCAACCAAATCAAACAGTAAATGATCGAATAGCCATTTAGTAGCTCAATAATGTTGCCCCTTGGGATAGATATATGTGAGAGGAGACGAGAATAAAGTGCCATGAGGCTGACATTAGATAGCGGCAGAGACAAATTGGATCTAAGGCTCTGATTGAATTGGCCCATTTGCTTCACTTGGGCCCCAGTCAACAGTGATTTGTAGTGGCCCAGGGTAATGTATGGTAGGCAGTAATGTATGATGGAGTAAGTGGGTATCGTTATATAAGATAAATGCAACCATATCTAAGAATATAATAATAAATATTTAATGACCTATAGATTCATCAAAACATGGATACAAGTCCACTCAGAGTCCAAAAAAATAAAACTCAGGTCTTTATTTTTAAATATTACAGTGACTAAATTTTAGATCTACAACCTCAACTGTTTTTAATATATCAAAAGATATTTTTTTGATTCTTAGAAGAGCTAGAATTTATTAAACGTTTTTTATCTCCTTAAGACAGTGCTAAGGTGTGCAAAAAATGTAGTGCTATGAACTCGCCTTTTACCACTACAATCCAAAAATGTTTCTCGACTTAAAAAATGGTAAAGATACCCGGTTTATTTGGATATTTCATAGCCATTTTCAGTTATTATAGAAGAAGATTTTGTGTTGAACATTAATAATCAAACGCTAAAATTTTTCAATAAGCCAATTAAGAGTCAGGTTTATATCAAACTTAATACTGGTTTAATACAGGCTAAAATGTTGTCTTATTGTTTATATTTCACTATCTTATTGTCTAATTCAGTCTTTACTCTTTACTGTTAACAACTAGAACAGTTGTACTAACTATAAAACTGAGTATATCAGTGAAAATGGTTTTGATGCAGGAATTCTTCGTTGCTTTTTTTTGGATAATTTAATTTATTGATAGAAGTTAGTCGACTGTTCTACATATCATGGGTAATAAATAATCAGGACGCAGCATTTTTTTAAATTAATTTATTTTTTATTTTTTTATTTGTATTCACCTCTAACCTAGATGTGAGATCCTATCCAACGTTTGATTTATTTATTGATTACTTGAACACCCTCAGTGCTCAAACCACGCCATGAAGATGACCTACATGTTAGGGTTGATACGTTGGCATAAATAAAAAATTTAAATTAAAAAAAAAAAAAGGCTGCGCCCTGATTATTTATCACCCATAATTTAATTTCATATTAACAGTGGGTTATCTCTAGTATAGTTAATTTACGAACATTCACGAGTATCTTAATTAACAAATAATTTATGATTTTTTTTTAAAACAGGACTCTGCCTAGTTCAGCCGCTCGAAAATCTTATTAAAATGGATTTAACAATGATAAACTCTATTTTCATTTAAAGTAAATTTTGTCTAGTTTACATTGAAGCAATAGTTAATTAGTTAAATTAAATATTTCTTTGCTTATCGCTTCTCATTCAACAACAAAATCGAATTACTTATAAAAACACAAAACTTGGATTTCCTATTTTTCTGCTGAGAATTCGCCAATTGTTTATATAGACTTTTTCGTAACGATTGAGATCTGCTACCACTCCCATAAAAACTACCCTCTACCTACGGAACAAATTGTATATCACTCTACTGTGTGTATGTATATAACTCTTAGAATCATAGGCAGAGGTACAAAAATTATATTAGGAAAGACTCTTCTAACATGCCATCCGTACCTTTAACTGACGGTTCAGCAAAGCGATCAAGCCTACCGTTGTATACCGCTACATACCACCGCAGCGAAGAGACCCCGGACAATAGGGTCTAATTCGACATGACTTGGACAGTTTCGCCGGACAATAGCCGCTATTAGTGTTCGCCGATGCTGACAATAGTCCAAACAGAACAAATCGGATTCCAGGCAGTTCTCCAGAATCTGGAGAGTAATATACCTTCTCCAGCGAACCGAGTCTATTATTGGGTTATCGGTGTCTAGCCGGCATATATCGCTTAGGGTCAATGTTCGGTAGATGGTCGAAAGGTAGAAATCTTGTTTGGTCAATTTTGGGTAGGCACAGATATGTGACATGATTTTTATATTTATTTATTGAAGTTCCGATAGTTTGGTGGCTTAAAAAATGTTGAGAACCTTTAGAGTAAATTTAGCATCGAGAAGCATAGAAACATTGTGAAAAAGTATAACTGAGGATATAAAGAACCAGTAGAAAGGTTATCATATGAGGTCATCAAAAGGTAAAAAAAAAAAACATATGATATATACTTATAAAATTAATCTTATATTATATTTATTGCAGTCGCAATATAATTACAAACCAACTAGGTGAGTGAATTTCTACAATAACCAAACAAACTGATAGAAGGAAGAGATACAAACCGCGTGATAGAGAACATTAAATTGTAAGAAAACAACTAAATATACTTGTATTATCAGATCTTATGTTATTAAACATAACATCAATCGCAAGAAATATGTATCAGTCTATCACACTTGTACGAATTCGCAATACATTAATATATATATATATGGCATGAAGCAGGACACCTTAACCAGGGGGAGGGAGGAGAGGAGGAACATTCTCGAATAAAAACTTTTTGTTTGCAAATGGTACAATTTTTTTGTTTGCAATAATTAATTTTACATGATCATAAACTGGTGCAAATATATTCATGTAACATAGTATTCAACTGAAATAAGATTTATATAATTTATTATTTATTTATATTTTATTTTAGGCAATTTGCAGCTGCGCATCTAGCAAATTTGTTGTGTTTTTATTGTCTTGGTGTAATTGCTTGATTTTTTTTTTATGTTGATGTTTTTATTGATGTAGTAGGTCTCTTGGCCATTTTCTTCTTAATCTTCGTTGCTCAGGTAACAGGGAGCAGGAGATAGAAAGAACCAGAGGATTGGAGTGATTTTGTTATATAATTTAGTTCTAAAGATATATTTTTGAGAGCGAATAATTTGATTTATGACTTCTACAATAAAACACTATATATGACTTAGATATTTTGGCAAGCAATTGTACACGATCAGGCAATTCTTTTTCAAAGCCTGTGTTATACTTGTTAAAGGTTACGAAATTTCGGTAATCGAAATATCTAATGAAGTTAACTTGCTGATGACCAAAATATATCTTTTTTTTATCAATATATTTATTTAACAGCGATAATTAATTAAAAAAGATCATTTTCGAGTTGTTTCTTATGACTAAGTCCAAACAATGATGGTCGAATTATAACAAATTATCAACAATGTAAATAAGCAGTACTCTATAATCAGTTCTTAACAATTCTTCGTTATTATTAATCTTTTACATTATAAGATTAACAAAAATAAAATGAAACTCATATCAAGGTGAAGTAGCCACATGACCACCGAAAACGTATATTCTCTCATCGTAATGGTATTCTCTCTGCCGTTAACTAAATTGTTGTGCATTGTTTCCAAAAATTGGGACTTTTTTAAAACGCAGGACAAATTGCTAAAAATAAGGACTGCCCCTCGAAAAACAGGACGTCTGATCACCTTAGTATTATCGAAAAATAACGTAAAACAACCAGAAAGATTGTTAACATAGTATGAATGATTTCAATTCATTAAAAATATTTTGACTAGGAATTAAGAAAAAAACAATCTCTTAAAACTGAAAGGTACTTCGATAATTTATTTTTTTTTTTATTTATACCAACCCATACCATTTTATTAGTCATTTTCAAAAACATTTCAACATAAACAAAATTAAATATAAATAATCAATTACTCACCAATATGAGAAGACACCTGTTCTCCTTGTAGACGGAGCAGCAGCCTAAGAGTGCCACTATCACAGAAAGCACCCCCGCGGCCACCAGGATGTAAGCTGTGAGGGGGTACGTCAGGTTAGTGAGGAGGCTCACATAGCCGTGCTTTGTCAGGATCGTCCACAGGCCCAGGAACAGGACGCAACCTCCGCTCACCTGGAAAGTAGGGAAATGAGTCAAAGAGGGAAGAAGTACATGTCAAGAAATACATAATATGGTACTTAGCACGAGACAATTGCGTTTACGATGGTTATAGTGCCTAGCTCGAGTCTTCGGGAACATATTGCCCGAGTATAAAAATTACTTAGAGATAATCGATGAATAACTCCGATGTCTTGTCAGTCTTACGTTCCGATTCTGTTTACTTGGAAGACTTGTTTGAATATTGATAGGTATATGAGCGAGTAAGACGTAAAATGTTTAACGAATAACTAGCAGTTTTCAATATCTCTGTTATTTTTACACATTAATAAGGCTTATTAACATAGAACCTCGTTTAAGCTTAAATCTACATTATAAAACCAAACAGAATCCTAAAGTTTCGGCCTATTCCGTTAGGTTTTTCCGTTGATTCAGCGCCAACAATCCAGTCTAATAAACGTGTAGACCCGTTGAATATGCAATGATGCTAGATGGTGCAATAAGGTTACCTGGTGATGGTAACACGATTACGTAATCTTTTAAGTTCAGAAGCCGACACTTACTTCATACGAAACATACGAATTCAACGTAATATTTCATATTCCAAAAAGTAAAAAAAACAAAACACTATTAAGTAAAATAATTTATTGAATTCTAAATTTTAAAAGTATAGACAATAGATCCGGACTGAGTAATTAGAGACAGATATATACCAAGTATTTTAATTTAGTTTTTTTTTCTTATAGAAATTTCTTTCTCTAAGAATTTGCTGAGCCGTGATACTTTAACTTCTTAACGTGTTGTACCTAACTCAAAATAAAGAGGGTATTGTTGTACAATAAAAAGGAGATTTTATTTTTCACAAAATATCCAGTAAAATAAATACCCCCTCACAAAAAAAGAGACAACGTTACAAAATGTTGCAGTGATGGGATAACTAATGAATGAATTACTAGAATTAATGGAGTTAATGGAGGCAGGGTGCAATGTGCATGTTGACTAATAGATTAACAGCCTGTTAAAGATGACTTCTCGGCGCATTTCTAATTTTATCGTGGAAGATAAATCTAGCCATAAATAAATCATAGACTTACTCAATGAAATTAGTAAGGATCCATTTTTTCTCATCACTGACTTGAAGGGTACGCTTTCGCATTGTTATATATGTCAATATACAGGGAGTCACGTAAGCAGGGAGAAATTTTTATAGGAGTGATAGCAAACCACAAGAGCTACAAAAAAGTTCATATAAACACTGGGCCTATTTCAGTAGAAAATCCAAGTTTTGTGGTTTTTTAAGTGAGCCGTGGTTTTTAATGAATCGAAAGAAATATTTAATTGAAGTAATTATTAATTGCTTCATTGTAAACAAGATAAAATTTACTTTAAACAAACATAGATTATATCTTTGTCAAAACCATTTACAAAGAACTTGTGAGCGGCTAAACTTAGCTCAGTTTAAAAAAAAAATCGTAATTTATTCGCGATTTTTGTTTTTATGATCATCCAACTGTACTATTGCTACCCTAATTTTACTAAAACTTCTTCGTTTAATAACATTTATGTTCGTATTAATTAAGTTGACGTTTATTACGGAAAACCTGAGACTAGACTCAAAATGTAAAAAATTACATTAAATAAATTAATTATAAATCAAATGCCATAATGTTGATTTACATTATAGCTATAGACCAATATCATCATATGGTAAACCATCTACGCATATTTTTAATTTACTTTAACAGTTATTCGTCTGGTGGTTTTTTGCACTGCCATTCACGAAATGCCACAACTCTTTATCTGTTTGGTAAGAATTAGAACTTAATTTATTTTTTTTAGATTTGAAAAACAAAAATCAATCAAATTTAGGTCAGAGATAAACAAAAGTAATTTACAGGCCTTGAAGACTTTGCAGTTTTACATCTTAAAGCCCCAACCAACAAACAAGAATAAATTATATTCTGTTATATACAAATTACGAATTTTCCGTCATTTGGCTGTTGATGATTGTTTGCGAAATGACGAATTTTCCGTCATTTGGCTATTGGTGATTGTTTGCGAAATGACGAATATTCGTTATGCGGACAAATTATATATATATATATATATATATATATATATATATATATATATATACACATACATATATATATATATACATGTATATATATATATCATCGGGTAGAGTCAAGGCTACGGACCTAGGAGAAGGCGCGGCATTGCCAAGGCTAGCCGAGCTCGTCAGTGTTTATTTAGTCAAAATGTTGTGTTAGCTCAGCACTGCCTCAGGAAGGTGTGTCTTGCCTCTCTGGAGGGAATATATCATCCTACAACTACTAGCAACGTATTATAACCATGAAAATTTAACACACCATAATTTCCTTGACTAAAACTATTTTATCTCAAAATCTAATTATTTCAATCACTAAGTTACAGTTCAGCAGCCAAGCAATATTATTGTAGATCTCTCATATTAGGAATATTTATGGAACACTAGTCCACTTCCAAGACATTACTTCCAGCTAAAGAAGAAATGTGAAAATAAATTAACATAGTTGTACTTTTCCCATCGATAATTTAACTACAGTTTAAAACGACAAATAATAAATTAATGTTTGAGATATGCATTACGAAAAAATGTTTAACACTAATTAACAGATTCTTCGTTGCACCAATGTCTATAAGCCTTAAAAACGTGTTAAAATATATAAGTATCCTAACAACGTTAGAGCTTGATGAAATCTTTAAGCGATGTTAAAGTGTAACGTTACATACGGTTACTTCAAACGACAAACAAATATTTGCTTCTTCTGAGAATACTAGTGTACTGTTTTTATTTGTTACGACTACAAATATGATTTCATCTGAAGAATATTCAATTGAAGAAAATTTATCATCATGAAGACTTATTAAATCATATCGATCTGTTTTTCACTTTCAGAAAATTTGCTCTCTCATTCTCTTTTTTCATCGTCTTTACAATAATTAAGAAGTGATAACCAATCAAATAACCACATACCTCGTTAATTGTAAATACAAAAGTTTGCATGCAAGCAAAGATGGGCCAATGATACTCTGAGTCCCGAGTACCAAGTATTTAACCCAAATTAAAGCAGTATTGATAATTCATTCACTACTTCAGTTAATCGTTTGACATCATCTGAAGAGGTAATTAAATTCATAGATACTCAAGAGAGACCAATATTTGAGTAAAATACTTGGTACTCAATACTCAGAGTAGTATTTACCCATCTCTTCATGCAAGTGGATGGAAGGTTCCATAATATAACACTCCATAATATAAGTTCCTTTACAATCGCCGGTTCTTGTTATACCTATGTCATAAATAAGAAGTCCCACTTTAACACCTTGTTAACTAACTCAGCTCAAAAACGCTGCAAATTATTTCACAATGTTTAATTATTTCCAAAAAAATTATACATCTAAAGTAACATTACCTTCCGAGTTACAAAGAAAAATAAACAAAAGGTGATTCCAATTATTGGACTAAACTTTTTTTTTTAATCATTAGTAATATGCAAAAAAAAAATATCATTACTTCAGTAACACATTCAAAATTTAAAAACCAAACCAAGGATATAAGATTTGGAGTAGAACAAATTTAAAAAAACCGCAGACCATATCTTTGCTCTTAATTGTTCGATTTTAACGTTTTTTAGGAAATTTCGTAAACTTTTAAAAAACCATACAACAACATCAACAAAAAAGTATAAACTTTTCGAGTTATTCGGAATTTTATTTTACCATCTCTCGTAACTTTTTTTCCAGCTTCTTTTCGTTGAAGTATGTTATATAGATAAATTTAAAAGGCGTCGAGAAAATGACTTTAGCGAAGTTTCATTGAAATCTGTACATTCGTTTAGGAGCTACAGTCTAAAGCAACGCAGGTTTTTCGGCCGCCATTTTGAAAGTAAAAGTCAGAGAGTAATGTCGATGAAGGAGGATCATCCTCGGGTGACCTCTGATTTTATATCAAAATTTGAAAAAAATCGGCCCAGTAGTTTCGGAGAAAATGCGCAGACGGCGGACGGACAAAAAATTTTTTATTTGTTTTTCGAATTCTACGCATCCTGAAACGTGAAACCTCAAATTTTGAGAGGGGGTTAAGTTTTTGAATTTTTTGGTCGATCACAATGGTTGATTATTGAAAATAATAAACCAAAAATATTCAGAGCAAATGGACCCAAATTTTAACATTGGTTAAGTTTTAACGTGATTTAGTTGACAGAGAATTTTAACTGTGATTATAGTTGTTAAAACCGAACCCAACATTCCTTATCATTCAAATCGTAATAAATTGAAGTAGTAAGTAGCCTCTAATGATGCAATTGTTTAAATAACTGAAATTGTTTTATTGCATTTCAATTTCAGATAGTAAAGCCATTTTTCAGGGAAGATTACGTCATGAATACACTTGGTACAATAAAAAGACACATGACATAAGAAGTACAGTTTAGCGGCAATGACGGCACGAACCTAAAAAACAGAACACGGTCCCCGAGGCCTGTTAGATTCCGTCACATCCTCGGGGACTATCTCTCCATCTTAATGGCGGTATCTTTGTAAACTGTTACGTATATTTACAAAATCATTCTTTACATGTTTAAAAAAATTGCTTTTTTTTAAATTTTATATATCATATCTCATATTGATATTTGTTTTTATGTTACTGCGATTTCTGAAGCTTTTAGGCACCCGAATTATACAGTAATAATTCTTTCCTATGCTTCGATTCTTCTTCTTCTCCGTGGTCGTTCCCTCTATATTGCTATGTCAGAGAGTAAAAAACCGTTCCATAATTTTTGTCAATTTGTAGCCATTTTGGGAAGTAATACATGAGGTCCAGTTTTATTTGACCATCGTATAAGATGTCAGAGGACTATGTGCAACCTTCGCCCAACATCTAGAACTTGCGTAGAATTGTATGGTTTGTTCCCTCGCAGTTGATTTTCTGGTCAGAAACTATACATTAATGTGTTCTTAACTGAGCTGTT